GAATTACTGGATCCTTTAATAACCGTTGCAGCACTTCAGGAAATGGTGATTCAATGAAATATTTATTATGTTTTAGGACAAGTTTAACCTGTATGTAAAATGTGTAATATTTTATTAAGCTAATTTCTCGACAATATTAAACATTTATTAAAAGTTGTTTTTATACTCACTTTTCCATAAGACAATGTACACAGTTTGATAAATTCAATTATACCATCAGGAATACTAGTCTTACTCAATCTCTTTAAATACTCAATTATATCTTGTGTTTGTAGGCCTACACTAACCGCAGCATAAAGTGAATATGCAGTTAATTTATACTAAAAAATAAAAGTATCTTATAAGTATTATACAGTCCTGGACAAAATAGTTGCAACAGTTTCTTTAATGAGTTTTGCAATGCAGTCTGCTCACCGAGAGTATTACTTATTTACAGATCTGTAAGTAAAGATCAATCACTCTCAGTAGGCAGGCTGCATTCCGAAATCCATTGAAAAAGTGTTCTGTTTACAACTATATATCTTTCTAATCTCTACAACTAATATCTACAACTTGTTCTCTTTCTAATGAAATTTAAAGTTTTCTGGTTTTCAAATTTTTAATCTTACTTCGTGAATATGTTCAGGCCGACATACAGGTTCCGATATGGCTATTAAAAAGTCATGAGCATGTTTATACACAGGAGAAAAGGATTCCAAAAAAATATGTCCATTTGGTGCCTAAAAAAATACAGAGATGTTAAATTCAAACCCATACTTTTGATTCAATCTATTCAGAACTTAATCAGTTCCACGGTCCCGGTAATCACATGACATATGAAATGTATACTTGACATCTGAGACCATCGTCTCTTGATTTAAAAGATTTTTTTTATAAGTTTTATAAAATAAATTTAATTCTTTCGCCAAATTTTAGAAATGGAAAGATACTTACCACCCATAATGGTCTAGATGAACAATCTGATTTTAAAATCATTTGTGAGCGATAATCTTTTGCACCAAATTCATCCTCGATCGCGCATTCATCTTGTTTTTCTACATCATTTTTTGCCGCATCTGGTATACCATCTGTCTCACTACTGTCTATCGAATCGTCATCGTTGTATTCATCATAATCGTCCTTGCGCTTCTTCAATTTACCTTTATTCAACGCAATAGAAGATAAAAACGAAACGTAGTATACATAATTATTTTTTTGCATAAATGTATATATTTTTTAGTACATAAATACAATTTAAAAAATTACATAAATATAATATTAATATAAAAATAAATCATAGTAAAATTGAGAAATGTAATCAAATAGAAAAATTAAACAAAATACATATATAGGTTATGTACTGTTATCTTTTTTGAAGCGCTTTGGCGGACCCATTATACGGACACCGGAAAATTCAAAATTTAGTTAATCAATAAATTAGAATTTCTTTTCTATTTCTTTGGTACACATGTCCCCTTTGGGACATTATACGTTTTGCTCGTTTTGCTCCATCAAAATGTTGTCAATGGTCGCGTTCAGCAGACTCAACTGTTGTGGAGCGGATCCGTGAGCGCTCACTGCTATTGGTGTATTCTTTTAGATCATCCAATAGCAGCGAGAGCTCATTGATCCGCTCCGCAACAGTTGAGTCTGCTGAACGCGACCAATGGCTGCGTTCAGCAGAGAAAGCAGCTTTGCAACTGTTGTAAAATTCTTCAATACGATTGGTTCTTGCTTTTGGTTCCTTACAGATCTAAACGTATAAACCAATCATATTGAAGAATTTTACAACAGTTGCAAAGCTGCTTTCTCTGCTGAACGTAGCCATTCTCACGGAGTAAAAAGAGATCAAACTCGAAATGAAACTATGATGATCCGTCCATGATGTAATAAGACAGGTGAACCAAGTAGAAGAATGCGTAGTAACCAATTTTGTCAGCCAATCAGAAATCTGTCCAAAGTGCAAAAAGCAATATGGCTGCCTCTATGATACGGGACGTGGGCCTGATTAGGTTAGCTCTTACGCCGTAGTCGACGTCGTGAATTAGTAAGTGGCTAAGAAATTAATTATTATTAATTAATAATAATATTCCTAAAGAAGTAATTTCTTGCCTTGTTCGCACAAGAACATATATACGACTAAGAAAACTAAATAAAGAAATTGTACAGAACAATATTGCTAAAAAAGGGAGGAAAAAACTATATCGTTTATGTAATAAAGAAAACATAGGTTGAAAAAATATTCTAAATAAAGAGATCTTTTGTTAAATCATGCAATTACATTTATTATAAATCCTGATACATAAAATGACGCTGACAACACTTAAAACTGCTGCAAGTTTTCATTAAATTTTACTAAATATTTACTAAACTTTATTAAATATAGATAAAACTCACTATAATGCCTGCAACAATTCCGCAAAAACCTTTGTTGTAAAAGAGATTGGAGTAAATTTGAACCAGAAACGCGCGCATTAGTAAGATAATGTTTAATTTCTTATGAATATGTACTTATGTTTTTCTATTTCTTATTCGTAATCATTTAATCTTCTATATTACTATTTTACTTATTAATTTATTGATCAATGTATCTATTTATAATTATTTTACTTTTATTATGTATTTTTATTATTTTACGAGGCTTTTATAACAGTATTTTCATATTATATATTTACAAACGTTTTTATTTACATTTTTATCATACACATTTATCAATGTTGTCTTTGAAAATCGCGCTGCATTTTGGATAGATTGGCTGG